AAAGGGATTCCTTGATCCTCGGATGGGAGAATTCCGGCCCCATAGCGGACCCGGCATGCTGTCCCTGAAGGTGGCGCCCAGCGCCCTGCGCACGCACGGCACAGCCACCACATGTGAGCTGCTTTCTCCTGGAGGAAGGGCTCCCGCAGAGGGGGAATGAGCCCATGAGCAGACCAGCACTCCGTGTCCCGGGAGCAGCGCTGCTCAGTGTGAATTAATGCAGTGGCACTTGTTCTTATCCACGCTGCTCTGACTTGGGTCCCCCGCGGCTGCCAGTCAGCACACTCCCGAGCCAAGCGCTAAAACCCAGTTCCCAGGATGCCAACCCAGGGGCCACATCCTGCCAGCCCCTGCTCAACCTCTCCCTTTTGTCCACTCTTCAAATCCCTGGCTTTGTGTCCCTTTGTAGTTTAAGTACCTAACATGGTATGCTCCTAACAGGGCAGCACTCACGGAGCCTGGCGACAGGACTGCCTCCTGCAACCTCACTGGGGACAGTAAGGGACAGATATGACGTAGATGGCCACGGAGGAGGCACGTGGTCCCAGATCGTCCAGTGACACTGACTTGAACTTGACCCCAGGCTTGCAGGCACCTCTGAAAGCTCCCCACTCTATTGAGAGGGACTGGGCAGGCCGCTGGCACTGGCCCAGGGTCTGTGCCTCTCCTGGGCTCGGTGTGTGACTGCCCTGGCAGTGGCGCCTCCGCTGCCCCCGCACTGTCGGCCCACGGGGAACTCTGCTGTTCCCGCAGGAAGAAACCACACGCACCAAGGCCTCTGTGTACGTAGCAGACTTTACTGAAGATTTAGAGAGACCAAGGGGCTTTACAAAGCAAAAATACAAAACACTGGAAGTTGAATATGAGACATCAATGAGCTTAAAAGGACCCTCGCCCTTTCCACCAGTGGGCTCCAGCCTTCTGCGAAGGGGCCTGGCCACATCCCACCCTGCTCCAAAGTCAGATTTCTCAGCAGTTCCTACAAGAGCCGGCCTCGGCCTCCATCTGCTCTGCCCTCCCTTCCCTCTCCCTCCCCTCACGGGCCACAAAGCCCTAATCCCGACAGCAGCGCCTCCCCCTCTTTTCTGACGCCAGCCTGAGGACGAAGCTGAGCCCCTGCGCTGGACGGCGCTCGGCAGAACGAGACACGAGACCTTTTCCTCGCCGCCTTTGAGGGACGTGACAGCAGAGCTTTCATTTTACGTCTAGGAGCGAGAGTGCGTGTGTATGCATGTGCGTGTGTGTGCGTGCGTGCATGTGTGTGTGCGTGTGTGCATGCGAGAGTGTGTGTGCATGTATGTGTGTGCGTGTGTGCATTCATGTGTGTGCATGCGCGTGTGTGTGTGTGCGCGCGCGTGCTTGCCTGCGGCCTGTACTCCGCCTGCCCTGTGAGGGGCGCGCTGCCCATCCTGGCACCCCGCCCCCTCCTGGCACCCCGCCCCCTCCTGGCACCCCGCCCCCTCCTGGCACCCCGCCCCCTCCTGGCACCCTGCCCCCTCCTGGCGGGAACCCCAAGCACGGCCATTTCATCCCCCTTCCACAGTGAGGTCACCAAGGCTCCACGAGGAGAGGTCATATGCCCAGGGCCGCATGACCTCTGAAGGCTCAGCCCTCGCTGGCCTGGCCTAAGCCCCCAGGAACAACTTACGGCTCGACGGCGTGGGGAGGAGCTTCCTGTTTCCATGCTTGGAGCCACTGAAGCACAGGCACCGAGAGGGCCACAGCGGGGCCGCCTGGGGCAGAGCCCAGCCTGTCCCCACCCTCCCCACCTCCCTCCCGCAGTCGCCACCCCCACAGCCGCCTGACGCAGCCCGGCAGAGGGAGGCGCAGACCGAGCCCGCAGGGCCCGGCCCCAGGGGCAGCCCTCCTCGCCCCACACCCCGGCTTCAGTCTGAAAGGGCACACCCGGCTACTCACGCACACGCGTGCGCACCCCAACTCCCTCTGTGCGGGTCTCTTTCTCATTAGGAAGGGCGCCCGCTCCACGCAGGACGGTGCCCGAGAAGCACTCTGCCGGTCGCCGTCAGGCCCCGGGGCGTCCCGTCCCCCTCCACCTGGACAGTGCTGCCCTGGGTGACGTCGGCGTGCACGGCTGGCTGTCCCCGTCCTCCCTCACAGGCCCGGGTGACACGGACCGCCTGCCTTGCACACACCCACTCATCCGACGTTGCGAGGGTGACGGGGACAGGAAACCGCAGCCCCCCAGGACCCGGGCTAGCAGGAGGCAGACTCAGGCGCGCACTCTCCGCGGTCCACAGCAGCCCGCTGTGGTCGTTTCAAGCCTGATCAAAAAGACCCCGATGCTTAACACACTTCCAGGACTCCCATCACACCGAGTGGGGTCCAAAGTCCTCACCACAGGCGGGGAGCTGCTGGGTCACCTCTCTCCCCACCTGGAAGGCTGTTCCCTCACCCCTCCCAGGCCGGCTCTGCTTGCCTTCCTCAATCAGCTCAAATGCCACGGCCTCAGGGAGGCCCTGTGACCGCCAGCTCAGCGCCGCTGTCTGTCCTGCTCTCTCCCAGGGGCGTGTCTGCCTTGCTCACGGACACACTCCCAGTGCCTCGCACAAAGCGGAGGTTGCATAAATGTTTGCTAAGTGAATGAATAAATGTACTGGCAACCCAAGCAAGTTAGCTGACCTCTGTGCCTCACTTTCCTCATCTTTAAAATGGGGTCGCATAGCACCCGTTGTGTCAAGATACGATCACAGAGGTACCTGTATTCAGCTACCACGTAACAGGTGTGCCAACGAGGTCTGACTGCTTCTGACTCACCAGGGCAGGAGCGACCGACCCTCCTGTGCGAGAAGAGCCAATTCCTCCCGGCTCTTGAAGAACGAGTGCCAGGCGGCAGGGGGAAGTGTGACTCAGGGGGCTGGTGGGCGGGAGCGGAGCAGGAGAGCCGGCCCCGTCTCCCATCTGCCCGCTCACAGCCTGCTCCACAGCGGGGGAGAGGCAGCTGACTCGCCACCTACGGCCGACCGGTTGGATTTCACCCTCCAAGTAGGGGACTATTAGGCTACTGCGGCCAGTCCCTAATGGGAAGGGAACTCACAGCCAGCGCCTGGACCTGGCAACACGGGCACCGACCTTCTCTCCGAAGGCTCCCGGGCTGGGCTGCGGGCAGGCTGGAGGGGCAGGCATTGCCAGCTCCCCACCCGCAGCCCGAGGGCCGAGCGTGCCCGGCCGGCCGGGCGTGCGGTTCGCCCCAGCTCCCTGGGCCCTCACACCCTGGCCCGTGCGCGGGCCGCGCCTCCTCGTCCTGGGCAGCCCTGCAGCCGGCGTGGGGTTCAGGCAGTCCTGGCGCCGCGCCGGTCTGGGCAAAGCTGCTCTGCGGTAGGACGCGGAGGACGGAGGGAGGCCGGCTTGCTGGCCTTGCCCCTCGCCTGGGATGCTGGCCGCTCCGTCCCGTCTGCTTGCTAGATATCGCCCACCCTTAAGGGCAGCTCCCCGCAAGTGTTGCCCTTCCCCGAATCCTGCGCACCCGATCTCTCCTGTCTCAACACCAGTGGCTCTGAGGACCCGCCTACCGCACTTCGTTTTCAGTCTGACTCCTTAGACTGCAAGCTCCTGCGAATAATAGCAATGTATATGTAACGAGCACATACACGTTTATTCATGTGCTTGGTGCTATGCTAGGCACTGTACATATACGAGGTAGGTTATTATACCCATTTTATAGATGGGGAAACTGAGGCACAGTGAAATGAAAGAACTTGCCCCAAGGTCACAGCTAGTCAGTGACTGGCCTGACTCCAGAGCCTCTGCTCCTAAACACCACTCTGTAACACCCCATGCTGTCTCACTCATTTCCGTCTCTCCCTGAGTGCTGGGCACACCGCAGTTGCCTGGAAGTCTAAGCTCCCCCTCAGCTCCTGGATACCCCTGGCAGGGACTGGTTTCTATCGGCGACGATGATACCAAACAGCCACTAGGTGGCAGCGGAGAGCCAGCCCCAGGCCTCCCTGAGGGACGGGGGCATGCGGTCAGGTGTGTCAGCCGCACAGCTTGCCCCAGGCACCAGGCACCGTAGACTCTCTCCTCCTCACTGAGGCCTTCCCACTTTGCAGGAAGGAGAGGGTACTAAGTTTGACACGTTGACACATTTGCCCCAGGTCAGGCAGCTCGAGTACTGGGACTGGAGCTGGACCGCCCAAACCCCAAACCCTCGCCAGTTCTCAGAAGTAAACCGGGGAAGCCCTGCGGCTGGTGGCTGGTGGGCTGGTGCCGGCCCAGAGCAGGCTCCCTCGCCCTAGGTGCCAGGGAGCACAGCTCCGCCTCGGGGAGGAAGGGGAGGAAGTGGGGCTGGCTCTGAGGAGAGTGGAGCAAGACTCACTGGGAGCTCGCAGGTGGTCGCCAACAGAGACACCCAGAGACCTTGCTGTGCATCGCCTATGTCTCCATGCACGGGCTCAGAAACCAGCAGAACTTCACAGACCTCTGACCTGCCTTCTGGGCCTTCTTCACCCTCCTTCTTCACCCTCCACCCACAGCCCTCAGCCGCCACCTCCTGTCCCCCACCCCGCCCCCGCCCCGCTGCCCTGGTCTGGAACCGATCCCCTGCAGGGAGGGAGGCAGGCGCCCGCCAGAGATGGATGAAAGCTACCCAGAGAGCTCTGCCCGTGCCTTTCCAACGACTGTCACCTCCCCGGCTAAGCCACCTCTGTGGATGGGGCCTCCTGCATGAGCCATCCTGGGAGTGGCGGCAGGGGTGGCCAGGGAGGGCAGATGCAGCAGGCACCTGCAGCTGTGGGCGTGTGGTCCCCGCATCTGTCCTCCGGCCTCCGGTGTGGCCCACGGTGCAGCGCAGGGGCTCAACGAGCTACGGAGGGACCAAGGGACCCGCACATCTTGAGCTCCAATGTCTGGCTGGTTCCTGGCTGAGTCCTCGGGCGCTGGCTTCAGAAGTGCCTGGGCGCCTGTCTGAGCTTCGCCTCTGGCCTGCCTCCCCGTCCCTTCTCCCTCGGTCCCACCCACGGCTCAGACAGCCAAACAGGTCCTCTGAAAATACACAGCATCTTGGGTTTATTTGGGGCTGGGCACTGCAGGTTCAGGCAGCTTGCTCCTGGAGAGAAAGTCACGACCACTCCTCTTAGCTCTCTTGGCACTTCAGGGGCCACCCCTGCAGGGCCCCTCCCCACATCCCCGGTTCCTGCACACACGTGTCCTCCCCCTCCCTGCTCCCCGAGTCTCTCATTCTTTCACCAGCCGGTAGATGTGGTGCTGCGCCCCGTGCTCGCTGGCTGACACCTCAAAGACATAGGCAATGCACAGCAAGGTCTCCTGCGTGTCTCTGTTGGTGACCACCTGTGGGCGAGAAAAAGAGAGGGTTAAGGCCCCAGGTGAGGACACGCCCGGGTGCTCTCCACCCATGGACCCCAGCCCTAAACGTGCAGTGCCCCTGCGCCACTTGCCTGCAGGATGGTGAAGTTCTCCAGCACACTGTTCATCATGTACTTCTCAGGCAGGTGCTTCAGCTTGTGGATGAAGTTGATCATGTACTCACAGAGTGGCGACCGGTGGATGCGATATGAGTAATGGCCGTTCTCATAGCGAGCATACTCTGTCTGCAGGACCCAGCGGACAGTGGGGGCTTAGAATCCCTTTTGGCCACCTCCAGCCCAGGCCCACCTGCATGGGGCAGCTCCAGGCTCTGCTAAGTAGGAAGGAAAGGCAGGAGGCCTGGAGGCTTGAGAGCAGAGCCACCCTTAGGTTGGTGGACATTAAACACCAGTGATGGGCAGAAACCCAGTATCACAGGAGGGAGCTCAGTGAGACCAGAAGCAGCAGCAGAGATGGGACAGGCACCTCGATCCTGTCTGTGCACTAGGACAACATCGGGGGACAGTGCACAGGGAGGCTTATGACTCTGGAGGGAATGACACAGATCCATACATTCACATACCTACACAAGCACACACAAAGGAGTGAAACTGGTGAAATCTGAACTGGACTGGTGGAGTGCATCGATGCCAGTCTCCTGTTGCCAGTATTGCACTCTGGTTGTGCAAGAGGTACCCAGTGAGGGAGCTGGGTAAAGGGTACATGGGACTACGATTGCATGAGGATCCAAAATCATCTCAAAAGTTTTAAAACTTTAAGGCCAGGCACAGTGGCTCACACCTATAATCCTAGCACTCTGGGAGGCCAAGGCAGGAGGATCACTTGAGCTCAGGAGTTCGTGACCAGCCTGAGCAAGAGTGTGATCCCATCTCCACTAAAAATAGAAAAATTAGCCGGGCATGGTGCTGCACACCTGTAGTCCCAGCTACTTGGGAGGCTGAGGCCGGAGAATCACTTGAGCCCAGGAGTTGGAGAATGCAGTGAGCTATGATGATGCCACTGCACTCTAGCCCAGGCAGCAGAGTAACACTCTGTCTCAAAAAAAAAAAAAAAAAAAGTTCTAAACTTTAATTAAAAATAAATGACCTGAGGAGCTATTTAAAAACTGTCATTGTTTGAATTCCACCTTAGAAACTGAGGCAGTGATGAGCGGGGTTCAGGCCCTGGTGTGTTTCTAAAGACCCCGGAATGCTACAGTGCGGCCAGGGTGGCAAACCCTCGGGACGGAGGAGAGAGAGTCTCTTCCCCGGACCAGCCTGGCATCGGGTTGTGTTTGGCAGAAGGTTGTCCATGCCAATGGATTGTGAGAGCAAGACATCATTAATTCAGACAAATGGGGGCAGGGGGGATGGGGTGAAGACGTCATTAATTCAGACAAATGGGGGCAGGGGGGATGGGGTGAAGATGTCATTAATTCAGACAAATGGGGGCAAGGGGGATGGGGTGAAGACGTCATTAATTCAGACAAATGGGGGAAGAGGGGGTGGGGTGAAGATGTCATTAACAGACAAATGGGGGCAGGGGGATTGGGTGAAGACATCATTAATTCAGACAAATGGGGGCAAGGGGGATGGGGTGAAGATGTCATTAATTCAGACAAATGGGGGTAGAGGGGGTGGGGTGAAGATGTCATTAACAGACAAATGGGGGCAGGGGGATTGTGTGAAGACATCATTAATTCAGACAAATGGGGGTAGGGGGATGGGGTGAAGACGTCATTAATTCAGACAAATGGGGGCAGGGGGGATGGGGTGAAGACGTCATTAATTCCGACAAATGGGGGCAGGGGATGGGTGAGGGCCGCGGGGTGCTGAGGCGTGGCTGCGCAGGCGCGTGGCTGCGCAGGCGCAGATGCTCAGAGCCCACAGGTGCTGCGGGTTGGAGGCCTGCGCCCACTCTTTGTGGCTCTCACCACACACGGACCGGAACAGGTGCTGCAGGAGGCCGCGCCCACTGGCAGCGAGGATAACTTGTCACTTGATTAGAGCTAAACGGAAGACTCTTACCCCCCACCCAGCACCCACCAGAAAGCAGGGGCTGGCTGGGATTCAAAGCCAGGCCCACCTGAGCTCGTGCTCGTCACCACTGCCCTGCACTGCCCTCGCCCAGGGCTTGGGCAGTGGTAGAAACCACTGCCCAGACGCAGGCCCGAATTTCCTGTGACTTCCACGAGTGCAGAGTGCCCAGCGCACCCACAAAAGGTACCCACAAATAGAAAAGCAGGGATCCAAACAGTTTTGGGCACCCCTGGAAATAAAAAGGGAGCAAGGAACAGAGACCCTAGAGACCCAGTCCTGCCCCTGCCGTGTTGCGGTGGGGAAGCCTTTGCTCTCTGGGCCTCTGCCGCGAGCTAGAGGGCAGGACGGGCGGCCACCCGAGGCCGCGCCTGCACGAGGATGTGCCTGGAGGGTGCAGGCCTGGCCTCTGGGAGCGGGGCTGGACAGGGGTGCTCAGGGCACCCACGGGCAGCACACAGCACTGACAGCAGAGCGAGAAAGCCGTGGGGAGCAAACACCAGCCACCACCCTCTCCCTTCACCGCTGGCGCCTCCTACCTCCACTTTCTCCACCACCTGCTTGCCGAAAGAGCAGACCTTGGTGGAGCAGGTGATTATCATGTTCTCGGGGCTCTCATACTGGCTGGAGACCCCGTAGAAGGAGCTGCCTTCGTCCTCAATGTTGGTGTTGAGGTCGGCCTGGAGGGAGACCAGGGGAGGGAAGCGGGGTCAGACATGCCAGCAGAAGCCCGAATGAGGGACAGAGTCAGGGAGACCCCAAGGGCACAGTCCAGGTTCTGGGGCCGGGAAGAAATCAGGAGGGCTTAAAAGGCACTTGGACAGTAGGATGTTGGGAATCTTCCACTGTCCTCCATGCCCAGGCCTGCTATGAAATCAGGTCATGTTGCCTAAACAATGGGAAAAGAATATGCTGGGCCCCCGTTTCAGGCCACTGCTGCCTGCTTAGGTAGTGACACCCCCACCAGATGGGGTCCCAAATTTTGTCTTTAGGACTTGAAGTTTTATAGTCTAAGAATCTGTTCTTGTTAAACTGCAAATATTTGAATCTATATCCATCATGTCTATTTTAGTATGAATGAATCTATCAGAATGTTTCCAGAGTGAATTTTATTTTTGAGACAGAGTTTCGCTCTGTTGCCCGAGCTAGAGAGCTGTAGCATCAGCCTAGCTCACAGCAACCTCAATCTCCTAGACTCAAGCAATCCTCCTGCCTCAGCCTCCTGAGTAGCAGGGACTACAGGCATGCGCCACCATGCCCAGCTAACTATATATATATATTTAGTTGTCCAGCTAATTTCTTTCTATATCTTTAGTACCGACAGGATCTTGCTCCTGCTCAGGCTGGTCTCGAACTCCTGAGCTCCAACGATCCACCTGCCCCGGCCTCCCAGAGTGCTAGGATTATAGGTGTGAGCCACCGCGCCCGGCCCAGAGTGAATTCTGATAGTGAAGAAAGCACAAGAACATGGAAGGGACGCAGGGGCGCCTGTGTCTCATCCTCCAGTCTTGCTGGTCACCCGGCCTGATGAATGCTCTTCCAGAAATGGCTCTGGGGCTGGCCTCGCCACTGCTCTACGGCCCTGCTGGGTCCAGCCCCCTTGGATCTCGCCACAGTTCTGCTTCAGCCTCCAGAGCCGTCTCCTTGGCACTAGCCTTCCCTCCCTCGGTTCCTTATCTCAACTGCTCCAAGGGTCTCTTCAGAACACAAGTCAGACTGCATCACTCTGTGGTCCGTCTCATCCCACAGGGACGAGCCTGGGTCCCCAGCCTGGCCCAGAGCAGTCTCTCTGTCAGCGTCCCTCCTAGCCCCAGACAGGCTGCCCTTTCCTCCTTGTCCAAGGCAGAGCCCAGAACACATCCTGCTCAAGTTGGGCTGATCTGAAATCTGCCTCCACACTCCCCTCTTAGAAAAGGCGGAGTAACACGGTGTCAATGCACGCCCCAGACGTCGGCCACACAGCTGGTAAGTGACAAGCCCAGGCCCCCAGGCTCCGACTCCAATGCATGTCCCACTCCAGCAGAGGGAGGGAGGACGGGAAGGAGACATTTCAGTGCCGTGGGGACTGAGGCGCAACTATATTTCTGAAGCCCTGGGCCATGTAGGGGTCTCCAGCCCAGAACTTCAAGTTAAACCAGCCCATCTGAGCCACAGGTGCCAACAGCGCGACTCAGGGTTCAGAAAAAATGCTCAGACACATTACAAAAGGCTTATCCTGGCCGGGGGCGGTGGCTCACACCTGTAATCCTAGCACTCTGGGAGACCGAGGCGGGCGGATTGCTCAAGATCAGGGTTCGAAACCAACCTGAGCAAGAGCGAGACCCCGTCTCTACTATAAATAGAAAGAAATTAATTGGCCAACTAATATATATACAATAAAATTAGCTGGGCATAGTGGCGCATGCCTGTAGTCCCAGCTACTCGGGAGGCTGAGGCAGGAGGATCGCTTGAGCCCAGGAGTTTGAGGTTGCTGTGAGCTAGGCTGACACCACAGCACTCACTCTAGCCTGGGCAACATAGTGAGACTCTGTCTCAAAAAAAAAAAAAAAAATAGGCGTATCCTTAGGGTGAAGCCTCTCCCCGCACCCACACAACTGGTCTGCAACCTCGGCCCAGCTGACCCCAGAGTGTAGCCTGTGAATGGAGTGGGAACACAAGGACTCTTCCGCACAAAGGTAAGGGGATCCCCTGAACCCCAGAAAGGTTTTGGCATGAAAGAGCCAGGCACTGGGCAGTTCTATTACTGGCCACTAGGGACGCTCTACCATCATTTTTCACTCCTTTGGAGGAAACTGTCCCAAGAGCCAGACCTTTCTCCAGACTGGCAGGGAGGGTTGCTTGTCTTAGGCCACAGTGGAAATATTGTATAGCCACAAAAAGTGCTGAGAGGGACCTGCACTTATTACTGTAGCTGGCTACAAACATTGAGTGAAAAGGTTAGGGGACAGACGAGGGTGTGTTACTTTATGATGAGGAAAAAACACTGTGTTCTCATTGAAACAGAATGGCATGAGGCTCAGTGTGCTCTGCGGTGGCACAATGACGCCACTGGGAAGAAGAGAACAAAAGACTCGCAGCTGCAGCCCCGTCCACACTCAGCCCCTGAAACGCACAGCAGAGCTTATTCGACAGCTCTGCTCCAGCCCGCTGGCCTCTGCCCTCCCGTCCGACCACAGCCTGGGCTGCGGGAGGCAGGGCGCGGCAGGGCCGCAGGGCGCCTGCGAGTCCAGCAGAGGTGGCCACGTCTCTGTGGGGCCGGAACTAACCGCAGCCCAAGGTCCCACGTCAGGTACAAGCCATGTGCTGCTCCTAGGTGACCAAGTTTGTCAGACTGGTCCTAAGGAAGGGGCTGGGGGCAGTCTGTGTGCTCAGGACACACTGCGGCTGCAAGCGCAGCACAGACCACGCCTGAGAAATGCAGGAAGGAAGCCCAGCTGCCCGGGAAGGGCAGGCACCAGACGGGTGGGGACGCCGAGGGCGAGGCCCGGCATGAAATGGTGATGACCCTCAGATTCCAGCCTTGGGTGGCCTCCTCTCATTGACACTACGACCACATGCCATCCACCACAGGCCCTGGTTCTTTCACACCAACTCACTCTTGTTCCTTGATTCCATTTGAAGCAATAAATCCATGAAATAAAGGATTCTATTTTTTCTAATATACAGGGTGTCCCAAAAGTTGCCATACTTAGGGAAAATGGGAAATTGTGGCTAAATGTACCTTTATTTACAAAATATTCATCACAAGACTTTACAAAATTTGTCCTTTGTAAGGAGACTTTTGGGACACCCTGCATACGAAAATTGTTACATAACCATTAAAGCAGTGTTTCTTCATGTGCCACCTAAAATAATGCCATGGGCCAAGCTGGGCAGGGCTGGCACCAATACCTCCCAGCTCTTCCCAACGCCCAAAGACAGTGGCTGCCCCAGCCCCAGCAGCTCTCTCTATACCCCTGCATCACCCTGAGCTGTCACCATCTGTCCAGATGGCCTTACCCCTTTCCCGAGGGAAGTTCCTTGGAGGCCAGAACCAAGGAAGCTCTCCCAGGGCCTTGGCACTGCCAGTCTGGGCTGGGCCTTCAGTCAAGGCTTCGTGTGGCCATTCACCCTTAGACCGCTGGGTGTCCTGGGTGATGGGAAAAAGGTCCCTTGCTCACCTGGAAGAGCCCACTCGGACCATCTCTAACACCCTTCTGGTATCTGCCCAGCTCGCCTCGCTCCTCCCACCACTCAGCCCCGCCCATCACTGCTGGCGCCAGCGGCCCAGGAGGTCAAGGCATTGTCTCTACTCTCAAGAAATTTATAATTATAACTGGGAGAGCAGGTGGAATACGTGAGCCGGGGGGCAAGTGTGCAGAGAGGGAGAGAGACAGAGGACAGCAATTCCTCCAGTGACGGGCCAGAGGCAGCCCCAGAACCTGCCCCAGGGTCACACTGCAGACTCAGGGGGTGCCAGCCCACGACACAGAGGGTCCACCCCAGAGCACCTTGTCTTGTCCTCAGTGCCTGGATCCTTCTAATCACAACCCCACCCTTCTCCTGCAGCTGCACCCAGATATTTCCTGTCCACTCTCGTATCGCCCCACTCCAAGCATGCCCCCAAAACAAGCTTTGCTTCTCGGCTTGCTCAGGCTAAGAAAGGAGGAAAGCTGTCCCCCCGCCCCCGCCATCTGAATGCCCCTCTGCAACCCTCCCTCCACCTATTCATAGCTGTGCGTGCGGGTGAGCAGCTCACAGGCCGTGCCTGGAACAGGTGTGGGGGATCGGGTAGCTGACAGATGAGCTGAGACAGCCGCAGCCCGGGTGTGGGGGCCTGGAGGGGCTCAGATTCATTGTCATGTGCTGGTATGTGCCTGGGAGAAATGTCAGGGCCCAAAAGGGAACAGAGCAGGCTGGGGCAGGAGGAAAGCTGGAGGTCTCCTGCCACCATGGTTCAGCCCAGCTCTGCCCAGCATTTTCAAGGTGCAGACCAGGGTCCAAGAGTCCCCTCACACCTGCCCCAGGGACAGAGGCAGTCCCTGCTGTGCCACAGGACTCTGAGGCAGGGGGTTCAGCTTCCCTGTCCCTCATCAGGAGAGCACAGCCTCAGCAATGCAGCCCCCTGCTCGCAGATGCCGTCTCCGGCTGGACACGCGCCCCGGCTGCCACGAGTCTGCAGTGACCGCTGCAGCCCTGTCAGCAAGAGCCGCAACTCTCAGTGCAGGAGGAAGCAGGTTGGACTGCGGACAAGAAGCCCTCCTCCCGCTCCAAAAGGGCTCTGATCCCAGGCCTCTCCAGCACCCACGTTCGGCCTGGGAGCAAGGCTCAGAAGACAGCTGGGCAGGAAGAGAAAGAGAGGCTGGGGGAGCGGCCTCGAGGTGTCCTTGTCTCACCAGTTTTCCTTCCTAGTTGTGTGTGGTCCAGTCCACACCAGCTGATGGCAGGGGACAGAGTGACCAGGCCAGGGGACAGGAGCAGAGGCTTCCAGGTGCTGAGGGGCCCACGAATGACCCAAAGTCTCATTGTCAGCAACGTGAAAATTACTTCCTCTGTCACGTCCTTGCCTTCCTCTGCTGCCTCCACCCTCCCCACATGCGAGGAGGGACCAGCTGGCTGCCAAGGTGCCCTGGCCTCGGACAGTCCCCCGTCCTCACCCTGCCTGAGCTGCTGGCACTCGGAGAGGGCTCCTGGCGCTCAG